AATGTACTTATTTGTCATTCTGGTAGGTGACAGGTAAGGCTGTGTGCCCAGATGGTGCCAGAGCAAAGCTGTCCCACCTCTGTCCCAAATAACCAGGGTGGGAAAGGGTTCAGAGTTTGTATCTAGAAAAAAAAAATAGGAATGACTAAGCCAATCTCATGATTTTGAGAGGATTGAGTCATAACAATACTGAAACCCCCAGGCAAGAATCCATCAAATTAATCGCTAATTTACTCCATATTTTTTTTCCTGAAACAAACTACCAAGTCCTGCAAAAGTCTAATTCGGCTCTGGATCCAGAGCGAGTGATGGAGACAACTTTATATCAGTGAGAAAATGAAATAGAAGGAAGAGCACACAAGAACTCTGTGTCTTTGGGAAAGTGGGGAGAGGATTCCTCCCCGTCTCCAGGACAAGGACACGTCCCTCCTGTTTTGTGAAGAGCAACACTTCCCGTGTGCTAATGACAGTAAATGATTTTCTCTATCAGCCTTCACCCTTCCAGCTGACACACCCAGCTGCCGCTCCCTCGCTTTTGTCTCTCGCCGGTGTTGCTGTGCTGTCCTGAGGCAGAGAACCAGCAGTGAAAATGGCTGGTTAATATTAAAGGGGAGAAACAAAAAAGGGAGACAAATGTTCAGGCTTTTTGCATACAGCATTTCAAACGTCTGAAAGCCCCTCTCCCCTCGGGAGTCTAATTTACAAGGTAAATAATGGAGTGAAAACCCTTACGTGGCTCGTCTGGTTGAAGGCAAAATTCCCTTCTGCCCACAATGCTGCCTAAGTAAACTGACTGTTCCAAAATACAAATGAGCACAGTGTCTTCGGCCTGGAAAGCAGAAATTCAAATACCAAAACATCTAAAACCCAGAGCTGAGGGTGAAAACTGAGAAAGGATGTCACTGTCTCATTCAGCAACATTTTAACACGTTCAATTTTATCCCATCTTAGTATGGTTTAATTATAAAATCTGTTACCTACCATACCATATGTATTTATATCCATAAATACCATAATATTTCCTAATAATCTAAGGGGTTTTTTTTTCATGAAACTTACCTGCTGCAAAGTTTCCACTTTGGTTCTGTTCTATTAATTTTTTGCCTGTTATTTCATTACTGCATTCATTGCACAAATCAGTTGTATCTTCTTACATTCTTTATGCCAGTGGCTGTGAATTATCCCTCCAAATCAACAAGTTGCTTTTCCAAATTAAAAAAATAACCAGTGTTGTGTTTTTCTTTCTGCATATGCACATTCTTAAAATTCATGGAGCAATGTTCCCGACAAAACGTGGATTTATCAAAGCCAAGCAAGGTCCGTGGCTGTGGAAATAAAGGATTGTGTGACAGCAGCCCGGGAGCTGGATAAACCACTCCCAGGGTGTCTGGCTCCGGGTGCTGCTGTAATTGCTCCTATCCTGCTGCAAATGCAAAGTGCTGGGGACTCCGTGGGGCTTCACAAGGTCATGGGATCTGTGCCCATGTGACAGTGCCAGATGTGTACACACGGCTTCTGGAGGTGACCTTTGGGGAGCTGAAGCCCTCAGGACCCTCAAATTGCCTTTTCAGGGACAGAGGGAGGTTTGGTGCTGTCCTTGTAGAGCTTCCTCCTGGTGCCAAGACCTTCAGGAGCTCCCAGGACCTTTTCTTCAGAGATGCAGAACCTTTATCCCAACAGTTTCTAGGTTCTATGAGGGCTTTGTCTACATAAAGTATTTGCAAGCCCTGGCTGGATCTCAGGGAGGGTCAGTTGCCTCATATTAAAACCAGGATATTTAAGTTTTCAGTAGCGAACCAGCCAGCTCTAGGTCACCATCAGAGATTGTACAATTATCAACCTTGGTGATATTTTTTTAGCTTTCTGAGCCCTAAATGTCCCAGGGCAGCAGCAGGCACTGGGAGTGGGCAAAGGGAACCTGAAGAAGGGCAGGAACGGTTCTGCAGGTGCGAGACTTTAGACAGGTAACACAGGCAAAAACCAGCTATTTAATTCCAAAAATGGGTTAATGCAAACCTGACTTCAAATTCCATTGAAAAGGGGGAATTCCTAAATTTTCTGGATATTTCTAAAAAGATTTGCTGATGTAAAAAGCTGAAGCATGGACTAGGTCAAGCAGAAACACATTTGAAGGGTGGACAAGCCTTGAGTAGATCATGTGGGTGCTTGACTCAGTGTTTCAATTATCTATGCAGAACTTCTGGCTAATTAATTGTGACTTATTCATCCTTATCTTAAATACAAGTCTTCCCTCTTCTCATTCAATCCTCTCTGTCAGTCCTGGAGCATCAAAAGAACCAGCAAGTCTCCATCTCACCTTCCCCTCGTGTTCTGTCACCAAACCCATCATAAAACAAAGGTATATTTTTTCCCAAAGCTACTCCAGGTTCCAGGAGGAACTAAAAATTGTGTGTACACCAACAACCCCGTGCCTGGGCTGTGTCCTCCTGTGTGGAGTTCCCAGGAAGGAGGAGGAAGCTGTGAGTAGCTGAGCTGTGAGTAGCTGAGCTGTGAGCAGCTGAGCTGTGAGTAGCTGAGCTGTGAGTAGCTGAGCTGTGAGTAGCTGAGCTGTGAGCAGCTGTGCTCTGACTCTCACAGAGTGGTGACAGAACCTCTCCATCTGCCCTGACCTGATCCCTGAGACACCCCAGAGCCACAAGTTCATGAAGGAATAATTAGCATCTCTCTCATTATTACATTCATGAGAACTGAAATAGCTCAAAAGCTGAAATAAAATAATATTTAAAGCCTGTCACGCCAGATTTTTCTTTTTTTTGTCTTACTGGTCAGAGCTTTGCTAAGACATACCAGCAAGGCAAGAATCACAATTCAAATCTGGGCTTGTTTTCTGCAAGTTAAATTGCTCTCAGAAAGAGCACTGAAGGTTAAATTATTTCTTTACATTCCCTAGACACACTACCCCCTTTTTTGCTGTCACGCAAGAATCCAGAATCCCAAACAGCGCCCAGAAAATCAGCAGTGTTTGGAAGAAACCACTGAAAGCAGTCAGATTCTTACACACAAAGACACCAGCACATTTTTATAAATTTAAAATTTTGACTTGAGAACAAAAATATTTCCGTCTTCTCTCTCAAGCCCTCAAAACAACTGCCTCTCACACCAGGCTGGGATTGTTCCTCAGGGCACCTCGAGGGATTTGTTATCCAACGGCAGAGCTGCAGCAGCAGCTCCTTGGCACGCCAGTGCCACCATGCAGGCATGGAAGTGTGGGAAGAGCAAACCTGAGGGTTCTGGTAGCTGCTTTGTTTCAGGTAGAACGAGCTTTCCTCAGAATTTGGCAATGGAAGCCTTTGTAGAAATGAGGCAGAGCAGTAGTGATTTTTCCCTGGGGCAGGAAGAAAGAGCTGTGCTTCCTGGCAGGAGTGAAACACTTCACAGGGCTTAGGGATGAAGGCAGTGGGATCTGCAGGTTCAGGAGCCAGGCAGAACCAAGAGAATGCACCTTTCCTCTGCCAACCCTCATTCCTCACCAACAGGATTGTTCAGACCTCAAAAGCCAGAGCAGAAATCCACCGGTGTCACACAAATTCTCCCTTTCATTTTTCAGAAATTCCAGCACAACAATTCCCCAAAACCGTGCAATGCTGGGGAGTGAGGGTGAGCTCCAAACTCCCTGTGCTGTCTGCTGACACTTCTGAGGGGTGATAACCACATCTGGACCCACAACACCCCAAATCCAGGGGGATCAGCCACATCTGGAACCACAATATCCCAAATCCAGGGTGATCAGCCACATCTGGATCCACAACATCCCAAATCCAGAGGCACTGTGCCAGACCTTGCCTTTAGGAGTGCTCCCTGCCATGGGCTTGGAGGTGCAAATGGGGATCACTTGTTCCTTTAGTAACGGGAAAATGCTTCT